GCCAACCAATCAGATCACTTAAACGTGACAGACATTAAAATTTTAGTAGTATAGATTTTAAAAAAATTTTCATTAATAAATATTTTTTTAACAATTTGCTTATATATTTTAAATTATTATTATATTAAAAATAAAAATTATTTTAAATTATTATTATATTAAAAATAAAAATTATTTTCAAGCAATTCAATAATTTTAATTTATATTTTGTAAAATATTAATATAAAATTTTGTATCTATAATTTTTTTTATATAAAATTCTTTTTATATATAATTTTTAGGTATTTTTTTAATTAATTTTATATTTTTATATCAAAATAATTGTATTTCTAAATAGTTTAAATATTATTTTATCAAAAAAATCAAGTTTTTTTCTAATTATAACTAAGGTATTTTTTTGCTCAAATAATACAAGCTTTTTTATAAGCAAAGTAAGTATATAAATTTTAAATAAATTTTATTTTTATAATTTAAGTTTGGTAGATATTTTGAAATTGTTATATGAAATACTTTAATTTTATATTTAACAATTTAATTATCAAAGTTTTTATAAAAAAATATTGAATTATAATATAAATATTAATCAATTGCTTTTGATTTATGTATAATAATTTTTTTGACTGATTTCTATCAAATCTTCTTGAATTATTTCTTTTAGAATTTAATTTTTTAAATTATAATAAATAGTTAATATAATTATATTAATTATAAAATATGATTTATTTGTAAAAGTAATTTTATTTTTTTAGCAATATAATATAATTTAATATTGTATATGTTTTTTAAAAATGATATTATAAGAATAAGTATATAAAAAAAAAACAAGTTGAAAAATTTAATAATATATATTTGTTAAAATATGTTGTTTACATATTTAAAATTTTATATAAATTGCTTTTATTTTAAAAAAGTTATTAATATTTATGTCAAGTAAATAAAATTTGAAAAAGTTTGCTGCACACTGTATATACAATATATATTATAAATAAAAAATTTTTTTAATTATAATAAATAAAAAATTTTTTTAATTATAATAAATAAAATTTTTTATATTTAAATAAATTTATTGATTGATAATTCCAGAAAATCAAGAATAAATTTATAAGAATTATTTTATAGAATTACGTATTGACATTAATAAGCAATATCGGAAGTCTAATTAAAATGGAAAAAACGTGGCGTTCTATATACATGCACATTTACACAAGATCAACAAACATGTTTGGGTCAAAGCCTAAGATCCGAAAACTGATTGGTGTGTAGTCATCTTTGTGTTTGTACTCACGTTTTTGAAATTAAAGGACATTACTTTTAGATAAAACTTCAGTTTTCAAGTTTGAGTATTTATTCTAAAGTATACTCATTGACCCACAGAAATTTTGGAGCACGGTTCAGTTGTTAAGACAAAAATTTCGCAGTGTTGACATATTTGAAGCCAAATCTACCCAGAAACGCTAATGTCTACGAAATCACCGATTTGCAGAATTTGCCTTAGTAGCGAAAACATTTCAACACTCATCGCGCCCTGCAAGTGCAAAGGTATGGAATTTATATTCTCAGATGTCTTTTTTCTTTTAATATTTCCTCTCAAAGGGGTAACTTTTTTCTTAATGATCATTACGAATAAACTAATAGGGAGTGTCAAATATGTGCATTCGACTTGCTTAACACTTTGGAGAAACCGACTACTGAAGAGTCGTAGGGGAAAA